CTCCCACACACTACATCGGGTAGTCTGCCGAAGCCTCCCTCCGCTATTTGTTTGGGTGGGTGATTTGCTGGCATCAATGGTGTGTATTGCATTTAAGTGATACTTCTGACTCGAAGTACTCCAGTGATAACAAAATTCAGCTTTGTACTGGATACACATGACTTTGGTTCTATCAACTCTGCAGTGTGGAAGAGATTTAAACTGAAAAAGTCCACATAAGAGTCCTCTACCTTTCTCAATTTTCACCTGAGCACTGCAGCGGCCCACCTCAAATGCTCTTATTGGTTGAGACACGTGATGACGCCCATCTCAAGCCAGTACTGATCAACACCCCGTCCCTCCTGTGACCCATGGTTTGTCTGTATGTGTATTCAGAGCCAGTGAGCAACGGACTTTCAAAATAATAATAAAAATAAAAATAAACTGCGTTAATGCGCAATAAAATAATTGTCAGCGTTAATGAAGTATTACGTTAACGCGAAACTAATGCGTTAACTTGCCCAGCACTACTTTATATATATATAAAACTAAAACTTTTCTAAACTTTAACTTTGTTGCCTAGTCATAAATATTTAACGTTGAGAAAATTTTCAGCTTTAGAATCAGGCCTTCATGGCCTCACAGTCAGAACCCCAATAATGAACGGTGCTTTTGTAAAGATGTGTCAAAGTGGCACATATCACTGCCAAAACATTTGAGGGTGCACAAACCACATTTCAAGTGCTATGCGGCCTCCAGCTCAGTGTTTGAGAGAGCACAGGCATAGATTTGTAAGAGCAGAATGAGATTTGAGAGGTATTCTTGGCCATGCGTACGCTCATTTCCAAGTCTGCACTTTCAAAACTTTTGGTGCCCACAAAACCCAGTGGAACTGGACTTAAAAACAAGTGCACACATGGCCAGGGATCAAATCTAATTCTGCTCTTGATTCTGTGTGCTCTCAAATGCTGAGTGGCGCTCAAAATGTGGTTCCTGCACCCTCAAATGTTTTGGCGGGGACATACCTACAGGTACGCATGTTGGCTTATTCATCCAAGGGTTTTTCCTCAATAAACAGTTCTTAACTTGGTCCAGCCTTGATCAAAAGGACTAATTTAATCAGCTCTGTGTTCTACTGAATACTTCAAAGCTGTACCACTGATGCTACAGCCTGCAAATAAGTTTCATTTCAACAATATTTGTGTCTACATTGTAGCTGAAGCAGGAAGAACTACTGTGCGTCAGTGAAAGGCATCTGAATGGTCACTGTACTGATCAAGGTACTGAAGATCAAAGGTGAAACGGCACAAAAAGGTTAGAGTAGAAAGCAGCAGCAGAACTGAATTCTAGTCAGAGGTAGGGCTGGGCGATTCTTTCGACTTTTTCGATTAATTCGAATTTACGTTTTAAGGCGATTTTTTTTCTTAAATCGAGGTATCGCGATTTTTAATTATAATAAAAATAGAAACATTGTCATTGCACCAATGGCAGAATAATTAAAAGGCAATATTGTCCGACCACATGATGACGTGCCTAATTATCCGCTTACGTGTGAGAGCACTCTATGAAGGAACTAATAGGCTATAGAAAAACATCATGGAGACGGGTGGCTCTTCACATCAAGATGACCTTGTGCCAAAAAAAGGTAGTAACGTTTCCTCTGTGGTTTGGAAATGGTTCGGCTTTGAGAGGTAAGACATCGAACAAACC